ATTGGATTAAATTTCATGAAATATCGTCATATAATTTTTAATAATCACCAAATCAAAAAAATTCGCCCATATGATTTACTCTAGAAATGTTACGAATACCAACTCTGACCCAATATATGGTGTTTATACAAATAGTTAATTTCAGACTAGATGTATTATATAATTTGTTTAATTTTGGCGGACCTATTAGCCTATCCATATTTCCGTGCCCTAACTCTAGGCAGCATACAACAAATCGTACTCCTGTAATGTTTGACTAATATCAAAACTCAAAAGTAGATGAAAATAAACCTCGTTTGTTTCAAAGTACTAAAGTTGCGTGCAAAATTAAACTCAATGAAACCGAATTATAATTATAATTAGCATCTATTAATAAAATTTCACGAAAACAACCATTTTTTTTAATTAGACTGCGGGAGATAGCTTCCTGACTAAATTTGGATTATTTCTGTTTTTTGTTTAAAAGTGATTTCGTTTCGATAGAGACTGTACCCTCTAATCGGATAGCATGTGTGGCGCAGAAAAATTCTTTAGAGTTCATTGATGCTGAGGTTAGCGGTTATAATTAGGCTAGACGTTAAACAAGATATATGGTAAATTTGTTTAAGAAAAGTATTTATTAAAGTACCAAAGATGATTTCTTATACTGATTGTTGAGCATCATGCGACTTTTGACAAAACAAAATTTCCTCATCGTGCCACAAATATGGCAAGGTGCGCGCGCGTTAGCAGATTATTTACGATATGTTTCGTTTATTGTAAAAATGGATTTTTTTTCGGACATTATTAATTTGAAGTTCACAGGAAAAAAACAATTTAAACAAGTTATTCTCTTTTTTATGAGAGATCTTTAATAACGATTTACAAAAATAATAAAATATTCACTAAATAAATTGAAAATATACTATAAATGAAAATAAAAAGTTGCCATGAAAAAAAAATATGATGATAAAACGTGTAACCTATTCTAATATTATAGGAATTTATACGAATAAAGTTTACTAGGAGAAAAAATTTGTCTCATGCTAGAAAATCTAGAAGAATTATGATGATGCATTTCATGATAATTTATAGAATTAATTTGACCACGTTTAGTTTCATCTTTCATCTTTTGTAAAGTTTGACCAGAAATTGTAAGATTAAGTAGTTGTTTTTCTAATTTATTAATATCTTCAGGAGAAATTGGAACCGAAGAAACTTTATCAGCTTCAATTGCATCTTTAATAGTTTCCATTTTTTCAGCATATTCTCTTCTTGAAGTTTCGAGTTCTTCAAGTACTTTGTTATTATAAGTATTTGGATTAGCACCTTTTTTAATTTTTTCTTCGTTTATAAAATGATCCAAATAATCAACATAAGCATCATTAAAAGCTGCTATGGCATTTTGTCTTAAAAATAAAGCAAATTTGACAATAATTTTATTTATGGTCTTTTTCTCTTCTTTCAATTGATTAATCCTCTTTTCGAGATCTTTTATATAAGCAGCCTTTATGGTTTGATCGGATTGCTTTTCACTGATTAAAATTTTTATATTTTCATCAACTTTATCAACCGAGATTTGTTCGTTTTCATAAGTGATATGCATATGTTTATTCCATAAACAACCACATACTTGACATTTCTTAGTTCCTGCCATGGCAGTGCAACCCAAAAGAGCCGAATTGTTTATAATATTACATTCAACACCTTGTAAATAACACCGTTTATGACAATGAGTTATGTAATCAATCTTTTTCATTTTGGTTTTACCGACGGTTAAAGTTTTAACACAGGATGAACTGGTACATACAGTTCTAGGATAATTCAATTGAATTGGTTTAAGATCTATTTGTGGAAGATGTAATTTGCCTTTAAGATCTGCAATGGTTAAATCCGATTTTTTAATTTCTTCTTTTTTTTCTTCAGCCAAAGCAATATTGATTTGAATATTTTGACAAATTTCAGCAAGAGGTTTGGAAAGATCCATAACTATTTGTCTAGCATTATTAAGTGATATGGTATCTTTTATATCGTGAGGTTTACACGATTTGAAATAACGAATAAGTCTATTTGATTCATCAACAGATCTTTTCCAACTTACGGCATAGATTTCTTTATCAGTTTCTTCAAATAGAATATTTTGTTTAAATGCAGCTAAAAATCTAAATGATTCGTTATCAAAACAGTATAATGTATTGTGATCAGTTGTAATTTCCACATCAGCTTTTGATTTAAGATTCAATAGTTGCTTTTTTAACGCTGGTAAAGTATCCCCTGGACGATAAAATGTTCCTCTACAATTAGTGAAACAGAAAACAATATTATCTCTAGCACCCTTATGAAGATGAGATAATAATTCTTGGATACAAAATCTAAACATTATAGTTAATCTAGCATTATTTGGTTTAAGAAGAATGCAAATTCCATTCAATTGATCGAATTGACTAATATATTTTAAAATGTTTTCGAAATTTTTTGCATCTGTATTTAATCCTCTAGTATCTCCTATTCCAGGTGTATCAATAAATCTTACTTCTGTATTATTATCAACACGGAATTTATAACTTTTACAACCTTGAGTAGATGACATTCCTCTATTTGTAATAAATTCATTTTCATCTTCTTGACCTACTATAATGTTTCTAAGATCGCAATATTCATCAGTTATTGAGAACATTGATGGAATTAATGTATCCATCTTTCCATGCATTGCTTCATCTAGATTTTTAAATTTCATATAGTTTGCAAATGCGTTTATAAAAGTAGACTTTCCTACTCCAGTTTCTCCCAATAGCAATATATTTAATTCAGTAACTATATAAAAAATATTATCGGAAATTTTAATTTTATTATAGTAATGCGCTTATTACAATAATTCATTTTACTCACCTGCATTTTTTTCGTCCTCTGCCCGTTCCGCATTTATTATATCATAACATAAAGTACAAACGCGATGTGAGGATTTGTTGGTTTTTTCATTTCCAGATGGAGTAACAACTTGAGACATCGCAATACGTTCGCTAGAACACTCATAACATACTACTTGACCGCATCGTCTAATTTTCGTGTCAAGAAAATTAATTTAATTATACAAAAAAAGTTGAATGAAATTTATTACTAAAAAAAAAATACAAACCTGCAATGATGCCTTCTTCTGAAAAATGTATTAAATGGCTTTTGGCACCTACGACATTCTTTTGCGTCTTCATCATTCTCCCATTTGCCTATATATACAGTTCAAAAAGTTAAATATTTATATAAATTGAGGAAGTTTTACAGTAAGATATTATTATTTACTTTCAAAGTTGTCTTTTGATGAAATACTATGAATAGTTTCAACTTTTTCAAACTTTTTAACTTTTTCAACTTCCTCGGTTGGTGTATATGAAATGGGTTGAAAAGTTTCCAATGGTTCGTAAACAGTAACGAATTCGATAGAAGTTTCAACAGAAAGCCTCTCAATTTCGTTTAAGATATTATCCAGTGTTAAACGTTTTTCTGGATCAGGAAACCAGCAACTTTCATAAAGCTTTACATAATCTGGAGGAGAATTGGTAAAAGTTCTTTCTCTTTTATTTTTTGCAATTTTTTGGATTATATCCGTCACATAATAGGTAGCAAAAGAAGGAATTCCGTTTGAGAGTTCCCAGAGTAATATTCCCAAATTGTAAATATCCGAGTTTTTGTCCCGTACAGCCATACCTGGCATGTTTGAACCGATAAAAGTAGTATCGCTTAACATTCCAAAATTCACAATTAATATTTTACCATCGTTTAACAAAATATTTTTTGAGCTCTAAAGATAATTAAATGCAAGCAAGTTTGAAAATTATAAATACGATTGAAATATGAGAATATGAAAACTTGAAAATACGTATGAAAATTAGAATGTTTAAAAACTCACTAAATTCTGATGAATTATTTCATTAGAATGCAAATATGCTAATCCACTGGTAATTTCCTTTGCAAATTGAGTTAATTCAGTCCACGAAATTTTATATTCATTTCTATTTTGTTTACTTCGCAAATAATCTTGTAAATTTCCACCATTAGCATATTGTAACACTAGTGTAAAATTACTTTGTAGACCTAAAAAAAATCATTGTATCAAACGTGATAATGTTAAACGTGATATTGTTAAACATGATAAAGTTTTACGTAGTTTTATTTTTAATGACATACTTTTTGAAATTCCATAGAATTTAATAATATTTGGATGATCAACCAGTTTAAGCTATTGTTCAATATTCATATCCATATAGAATTTAATTGTTACATGACAGTAATGGCAACGGTAAGAAACTTGAATACCAAATGTGAATAAAAATAATATTTACCTCAGATACGATTTTTTTAAATTTATCATCATCAAGATAATTATTGTTTAGCTCTTTCAATGCATATTTTTCTTCTTGGAACATGCAAGAGTAAACAAGTGCAAATCCTCCATTTCCAATACGTTTTATTTCTTTAAAATCAGAATATTCATAACTTTTTACATCAGAAACGCTTTCTAACTGATTTGAACATTCAGTCACTAATGAAGCATAAGATAGTATAAGAGATTCATAGTATTAATATTAATGGATAGTAATGCTTTACGTTGATTTTTTATGATAGATCACATACTTTCTGTGTAGTTGCGTATCTTCAAGATTAGGAATTAGAAAAAAAAATTGTCTAGTACATATAACTTTTTATATAACTTTTAGAACGAAATCTATGATACCTAGATATTACAATATTTAAAGTTCGAGATATTTACGTACCTACAAGCATCAATATCAGGCAATGAATGTGGTATCAGGCGTTGTTTGCATAACGATATTAACTCTAAATTTAAATATAGAAATGATAGTCATTGAAAAGGATTCGTGAATTTTTCTAAAAGGATTGAATCAAAGACAAAAAATCTGGAACGTGCCTAAAATAGTAATAAGTGCTAAAAACAAACAACACTTGTTGTCCAAAACATTAAAAAGTATTACATATAAGTAAAACAAAAACACGGACTTCATAAATCAAGACACCGTAAAGCCACTCTAGAAAGAATTCTCATTTCATGTATATTACGTAGAGAAAATCGGGAGTTATTGTACGAATGTAAGTAATAATATAGATAGTCTTTTGGCGAGCTGGTTTTTCAGTTTTCGTTAAATAAATATTAAAGTATGGAATTATTAGAGTATGAAATAGGATAGGATTTAATCACTAAAATAGAAATACTCATATCAAACTTTACATCATTACACATACGCCATTACTAAAGTACTTTGTTTAAAGATACATGTTTGTTATTTTGTAATAGGAAAATATTCTATCCTATCATGACTGCGTGATAAATTTACTTAATTAGGTTAAATGGATGTCTTTGGTCTTCAAATCAACATCCTGTTTAAGTAATTTGAAAAGCTGTTTGAAAGGTTGTTTGAAAGGTTTTTTCGTGCTTCTCATAGCAATTGGTTCTTGAAATGATACAGTTGATATTAAGGTTATTTTTTATTCAAGCATATACAACTGGCGTTTGATCTTATGACCCAAGCATAACATAACTATTCATTATGCTAGTGTCACCCTTAAAATAAAGAGTTGCACTATCTACTTCCAGAAGCATTGCCTTTTACGTAGATCATCTCTATCGTCATATCAGATCGCATAAAAATTTAAAAGTCGTCGACAATGTGTTGTTTAAGCTTTCATGGTTTAACAGTTAATAATTCTAATGTATGATCAACGTAGGAATGCGATCCGTTATTTGTTTGAATACTCAAATTTAACGAATATTCGTATATTCGCCTTGCCTGTAACAACTTTACAATAATTATCAGATTGAAAGCTAAAAATTGGTGAATACCAAATCACACACTCTAATCTTATGTCACGAAATTAAACGATACTTGAACATCACTACTATAATTTTCACGTTGGTTCCAGCGTCGCCAATAATGGAGGGCGCAGCCATATGACTTTCCGATTGTAATCATTCGACGTATCAATATATTATTAATATGATTAATCGAAACTTAACTATAAATTGGCATTGGCCACGTGATTTCGCCCTTGATTATTGGCGACGTTGGGGCTTTTGATTTTCACACGTGTACAAATGGCGCCAAAACACTACGCAATAAATTTTATGTTCTATGCAGGGGTTTTCATAATTTGGACTAGCAGCATAATTTCGGCTGGAATTTAAAATTGAGAAACCAGAAAGATTGTCACATAGGGATACATGATAGTCAACCATACATATTCTAAACTTCATTAATCATCTGCAAACCGGCCAATTAAAATCACGAGTTTTTAAAAAAAGATACAGACTAAATATGTTGTAAAGCAAAGAAAGCAAAGAAAGCAAAGAAAGAGATACAAGTTTGCTTGGACCCTAGCATCATCAATATAAAAAGTTTGCTATCAATCGGTATTAGGATGCATTTTTTTCTTAATGTGATGTTAGATTCAATCCTAAATTTTAATTTGAACAGATAACGAAATTTACGCTTAGCGTTAGGCAGTTGTTTAATCGAAAAGTTAAGTTACACGAACTTCCATAAATATTTATATTTGGGACAGGTTTTACAATATTAAAAAGGTTGAAGAATCACGCTAAGCAACTACAGTATCACTGCTTTTACAATAATTGTAAAATCATCGTAATTTTATGCAATTCTGCGTAGATCTATGCAAAGAGGAAAGTTTTGCGTAACGTCATGTACGTCTATTTTTTTTGACAAATAAAATCACAACGTTGTTGATATCAACAATTTTATTGGTCGAAAAATTGACGTACGCAAATCATTTCTTATTTTTAAGATATCTAAAGCAATAGCCTATAACGATAATACAAAATAAACTTTAAAAAAGATTTTTTATTTTTATATAAACTTTAATTTATATAAGTGTAGATCATTAACATTTATTTTTACAAATAAAACTAATATAAACTTTAATTTTTATTATACAAATTTTCTAGTTTCAGTATTCAAAATAAAATATGCAGTAAGTTAATAAAAAAAGAACCAAATTTTGTCTAAGTAAAAGTTTTTTTTAATTATAAATTTAAATATCTTAACAGCTATCTAATTAAATTTAATTAAATTTAATAAATTTTTTTATTTTAAATATCTTAACAGCTATCTAATTAAATTTAATTAAATTTAATAAATTTTTTTATTTTAATTCTATACAATTTTAAAATAAAATAAAAATTTTTTTACCAAATTTGAATAGATAGTTGTTAAAATATTTTAATTTAAAAATTAAAAATATTAAAAATGATTCTATTGATTTTTTATATATAAGTAATACCAAAAAAAGTTTGTTATTAGATATTTAATTATATTTTGCATACAATTAGTTATTTATAGAATCTATTACAATAATAAATTTTTTATTTTTTTTATTTTTTATTTTTAGTTTTAAGGTGACCTCTTGGTCATGCTATGCTTTTATTGTTTTCAGACATCATTATACATATTTGGAGAGTACATTTAGTCATGTCTGCATCTTTTGAGCACCTATTTAAGTAGTCTGCCTATTACTAGGTTCTACACTATTTGTCATACCTGCAACCTAGCTAGGGTTACCTATTAAACCCTCTGCGTCTATGTACTCCGAGGCCTATGACAACCGGTATCCTTTCTTCCAGTTCTAAGAACTAGTTTCACAGGTACATCATTCATCAGCAAAATTTATATACAGATATAAATCGATATATAGCACTTAATTGATATATATCATTTAAAATATATTGATATATATCAATAAAAGTGTTATATATCAATTTTAATCTAAAATCAATAAAATACAATAATCTGATTAATATCGATACATAGCAAATAATTGATATATATCATTTTAAGAATAACGATATGTATCAAAAGCGTATTATATTTCGATATATATCAAAATCGATATAAATTGTTATGCGTTATATATCGATATATATCAAAATTGATAAATTTTATAATCTTATATTTATTACTGAATATATCAATGTAATATGTATACACTTTAAATTAATCTGAGCAACATAAATATATATACTTAAATTAATTAGAGCAACATAAATTAATTAAAGATGTTAAATATATTTACTTTAAATTAATATTAGAACATAAAAAAGTTTACTAGATATTCATTCGCTTTATTAAATCTCGGAACTATATGAATGGTTCTATCTATGCTCTCTAACAGTATGCAACTATAATGTTTGAGCAGTTTCAATTTTGGACAACCCCATAATTCACCGTCTTCCTCATACAGCAGACTAAGGTGAGCTCAAGTGATTCTTTACTTATCTCTTTATAAAACTTGAGTATTAACAGTATCTTAAAAGACAATCCAAATTAGTTATATATTACTC